CAAACATTTAATTGATGTTTGTGCAGATGTAAAATGTTACAAATTTAAGCCAGTTAATGTAAAATGGAGACTGATGAGTAACAACCCAACACCATGCACTATAACAGCAGAGCCAGAACTAACAATGTGCAGCTAACAAGTTGGAAGGAAGCAAATAAACAAGCAAAGTAACAATTCAGAAAGTCCTGACCTCACAAAACTGCCCGTATGCAGATGGCAGAGAAATGCTCTGAATATCTTGTACCAATGCAGAAATATCTATGGAAAGATGATTTTGCATATCCCTAGTTAGTGGTGAAAGTCAAAGCAATATGCTAAGGTGGCCAATATGGCTTGAATTTGCTAACTTCATCATGAGGTGTGCATAAAGACATTACATAAACATAGGAAAGGGCACAATTGAGGCTGTGGATGACTTACCTATGTAGTATTTGCACGTCGAGGTCCCCAAGACACCCCCCCCCAAAGAAAAACACAATTGACACTTAATTTTTGTTTAAGGTTTTTGGCATAATTTTGGCCACAACTTTATTCAAATTACAGCAATGTGAGTGGTTGCTTAGGAATTGGTAGCACTAACTGACCCCGCACGGGGACAGCTCTGACATTCGCACCCCCCGTGAAGTCAGCAAGGGTAAGTCACCTGGGGAGAGAGACGGGACTGGGAACCATGCCTCACCTCTCCCCAGAATGCTCCCAGGGGCTTGCGTGGCCCTAGCCCCTTGCCAGGGGGTTTCGGACAAAAGCATGGGGAGCCCCTGGGTTCCTTTAACAGAAAACCCTTGAAGTAGCAGCTGCAGCAGCATTTTGGAGGGGCAGGCACAGCCGAATACCCCTCCACCAACCAATTCCAAGACCAATGCCTAACCGCAAACCTTACAAGTGGTGACGATTTGCAAAAACCAAGTGGCACACACTAATCAGCCAAATGGACCAAATTCCTACCAGGCCCCTGCCCCAAAGCAGATGACCCCATGACAGGCATAGCAAGGTCAAGCAAACAGCCTAAAATTAGAGAAGGGAGGGCAGGTGATCCGAAGTAAGCAGCGAAAAGAGGAAGTTCCTCGCTGCGAACATTGTATTTAACAAATAGGGCTGTCAATCAACAAATGGCAACATCTAGATTTCCCCAGTAACAGCCCGCCCCTGCTTAAAGGATGGACAAACCATTTACCTAGTAACAGTGAGGTGTCTTGTCAGCCCCGCGCACAACCTGTGCTCTCCATGAGGGAGAACACACTTTATCTAAAAGGCACAACAGCTGCCCAGGAGGTGAAAAGCAACTGCACTGGCAAACCTATGAGTAGTATCATAGGGTTACACAATAAAGATGTATATTAAATAAGACTTGCTGAGTTTTGTATTCTAAAACAAGGAATTACAAACGTTGGCATTGTCAATGAATGTCTTTGTGTTAGGAAATGAAAACCTGCCTTAAAAAAAATCCAACATTGTCTCCCTCTCCCTAGTATCCTGCAGGATCATTAAAAAAAATTGTTCCCTGCATCACTTATTTATTAATGTAAGCATATATCCCACTCTATTCAAGAGGGTTAAGGTGGATAATATGTTTTTTAAACAACCTCTTTACTTGCTTATCTAATACCATTAAGCATCTGCCCACACTAAAAATTCTTATGCCACTTCTGATTTATGTTCTCAGATGAAGCCTCTGCCAAACCTTCAGTAAAGAGGATTCCAGGAATGTAGAGCAGAAGATTCCAAGAAAGGTTTACATAAGTGTCCTTGAAGTTCAAACTGTGGGAAATTACAGTCAAATATAACTATGCGTAAGTGCTAGTTTTTAGTGCATGAAGGGGTTAAAACCAGATATGTCTGTTCCTAGACTCAGCTAAGTCACTCGCCCCTTTACCTTCATGAGAGACGAAGTGAAGCTGCTTCTCTTCCTGTTCCTTGCTCTCTTTTCCAGCCATGCAACTGACCAGGATGAACCTGTCTGAACTTGTTTCAATGTTTGAAACTAGGGTTACCATATTTCAAACAGTGAAAATCTGGACAGAAAAGTTGTTTAGCTTTTCCGGATATATGCAGGGAATTCCAGATGTATGGCTACCCTATTATTCCTGGAGAAATTAAAAAAAGAGGAGTTCCTAGAGTATCCCTCCCAGAAACCCCAAAGAAAATGATGCAGGCTCCAAGTGAAAGGTTAGGCCTTTATTGAAATCCAAATGTGCATGGAGGCAGCCTCAAAAATAAGGAGCCACAGAAATGCTGTTTGCCTTCCCGCCGGAGTGGTACCTATTTTTCTACGTGCACTGGCATGCTTTCGAACAGCTAGGTTGGCAGAAGCTGGGACAGAGCAATGGGAGCTCACTCTTTTGTGGGGATTCAAACTGCTGACCTTCCGATGAACAAGCCCAAGAGGCTCAGTGCTTTAGACCACAGCGCCACCCACTCCCTACATAAACCATATATCCTAAAGACACCAGAGTCTCCGCTGTGCCTCATTCCAAAAGGAAACACGGACCCTGGAACCCTGTGCATCAGGAACCCACTCAGAGATGTGTAACAATATTGATGGGTTGATGCCACTTAATTCTGTATTGGATGGTAGTTAACGTGCTCATTGTAGGAGTACAAAGTTGGAAAAGGCAAAGAGATTTTTCATGGAAACCTGTTGCTGAGGGATAAGAAAGGGGGATTGGAAATGCAATACCACCTGCCATCTATTTCCATCAGTGCCCCAAGAGCTGCTATACTGCGCTCTTGGTGAACAAAATCCCCTGCTATTTTCAGGCTATGGGTTTCAGGAAGGCATTTACTCCTTATAGGAGTAAATAATAGGGGAGAAATAAGCAAGCTCTTGTTCCAGTATTTAGGTACATTCCCATAACCAAGGCATAAAACTCTAACTTGGTGCGTAATCCTGTCAAAGAAAAAGAAGGTGATTTCTATGCTTGTAGGTAGCCTGCTCTTCATGTCAACTTGTCATACCAGCTGCCTCTAGGCTTCTGCAGGACTCCGTGATACTGATGACAGCTGAGGAGACCCTGTCTCACACATTAGCATCATCTGTATCTCCTTTAAGTCACACTATGTCAATCCAGAGTGTCCTGCCACATTTCTCTGCACATGGAAGGAAGATCACGAATGAGAGGAAAGAACTCCGCATATTCCAGGAAGAAGTAGCTTCCAGTAAAATAAATGAGAATGCCTTGCATTGAATCTATCTGTTTTATTGTGTTGCGATTTATGCAGCACCTTTTCTGGAAAACAGGATTTCCCAATATGCTCCCTGTGAGACGAGACAAATAGCCCAGGGGAAGGGATATACAGATCAGTCTTTTTCCATTACAATTTCACATGTGTTCATTCACAAGTCCATTGCACCCTCATTCTGCATTATTCTGGTTGTTTTTTTTTAAATGAACAAAATTCATGTTTAAATATCCATCTCATCACAAAATATGCATTGATATACTCTTTTATGTCTGTTTGTGCATTTTAATGTGTTTTGTGCATTTTTTATTTACTATATCCTGAAAAAAATCATTTTAATGAAGTTTTGTTTTGCCATGTTTGTTTTGAGCTGAGAACCGTATCACTAAATTTGGAGAAGTGAGAAATCCAGAGGATAATTAGTATGTTCCAATCCATGCATTATTAATCCAAGAGGTGCAAATACACTCAGCTTAAAAATATGCACCAAATGATATTCTCCTCCATTTCCAGCTTGGGGTTTGCAGAGGCTGGTCATGTACTGTCGGTACTGATGTGTGGCCTATCTGACATCTGATGTATCAGGATACTGGCACAGCCAGAAACATTTTATCTGCTCTATTGCTCTCCTGTTTTTATATTGATGTCTTTACTGTGTGGTGCAATTCTGGAGTCCACAAAGTGATGCCCTGTAGGCAGGCAGCATGGCATCCTCTCACACACACAAACCTATTAGAGCCCAACAAGGTTCTTAGCCCTGACCATTTTTTTAAAAAAAGTTGGGGAGCAGCTTTTCCTTTTTTGTTATTTGGTGAGGATGTTACATGGGTGTTGCCTGCTCTTTGACTGCGATTTGTTTCTGTGTGTAGATGTTTTGTCAGGGTTTTTTTTTGGGAGGGTGGGGGTTTGCACCAATCCATACACACAATCTGACTAGTGCCAATCCCCCCCCCCATTTTTTTGTGTGTGTATGTGGTGTTCATGACAGTCTCTTTGTTCTCCATATGTGCTCCTGTGTCCAAGAAGATTGGGCCCCCCTGGTGTAATTAATGGTTTTGATTTTTGGAAGTCTCGCCAGCTGCGAAGTGGTTCTTGGAAGCATGTTGAACAAAGAAATTAAATTGTTTAAATGTAGAGAAGGCAAGGAGAGCTGGGTATTTCACTGTCTAACCAGCCTAAACCTGGCCTACACCAAGGAAAATGGCAAGAGAACAGAAGAAAAGGTCATGGGCAACCATTGAGTTCTGTGGGGCTTGCTCCCAGGTAAGTGGGTATAGGACCATAGTGTAGCCTTAAAGTGTAACAGGTACACAGTTTATAAATAGGTTAACATTTTGGGAGGACCAAACAGCCTAACTGCTAGCCCATGAACTCTCAGCCTCCTTGCAGTGAATGGATTTCTAATTCTTTTTTATTCTGCATCTCCTGAAGCTGGTTCACTTTTAAAACATTTCTTTTTCTTAGAGTGAAGGTCAAGCAATGAAACATAGCATAAAGGAGCCAATGAGGGACTTGGACCATGCTGCCATCTTCAATATTTGAAGTGATTGGGAGGCCTAACAAGATTCACCCTTCCAGAACTCCAACCTGTTGCAAATCATTGCAGTGAGAAAGGTGTGCACCACATGTTCATTCATATTCGGCATGTTTTAATTGCTTCTGCCACCTGGTGGATTAAAGCTGGCACTACAGTGTACAAAATTACACTAGGAAGAATACATACACACACACACACACACACACACACTAAAGGGGAACGTTGTTTTAAAAGCCCCCTTTTTTATTTAGTTCAGAATAATGATGATGATGATGATGATGATCTTTCAGGTTTGTCCCTCTCAAATCAGCTTCTAACAAGTTGAAACACAATCTATAACAACATTACAAACAATAAAACAGCAAAAATATAATCTAAAACATAAAGCACCTAAAAATAGCATTACAGTAGGAGATTAAAAACAATATCAGCAGTCTAAAGTGTAGACGCAGACAGCAAAAATGACAATAGAAAGCTAGCAGAAGAAAAACAAGTATTTGAGGCATGTTTAAAAGTCATCTCTGTAGAGGCTGACATGCACTAGACATGGACAATCCTGGCAAGGTTGCACCTATCTGATATATGTCATAGGACCCCCTCGCTTCAGATTTGACCCCATGGTAAAACATCCAGCAAGCAGATTGGTTGATTCAGGATATACCCAGTGCCTAGGCCAAAGTCCCTTACATCTGTAATCAAAAAAGTTGTGGCCTAATTTGAATCAAAGAACGTTGTCTTGTGTGATCTTTCAGTCTCATGTCAGAGTGGTGAGTTCACAGCCCCTGGGCAATGCAAATGATAAGCTTCTTCGAATTTAAAAAAAAACAAGTATTTGAGGCATGTTTAAAAATAATGTCTGTAAAGGTCGTACAGTTTCATAGTCAGAGGGCTGTCTTGCGAAGTAGACATGGACAATTAACCTCTTCAGGTCAACTTCTTCAACCTTGTCTTCTTGGCGGACCTCTGATTCTCCCCTGTCCCACATCTTTGATTTAACATCTCTCCCTCCCCTTTCTTTTGGTTAGAATCAATCGTGGAGAACCTTTGGCCCTCCAGATGTTGCTGAACTACGACTCCCATCATCCCCAGCAAGCATGACCAGTTCCTACATCTGCACAGTACAAACCTAGGTTTGCCAGATCATCAGTGAGCAGTGCAGAAGGGGGTTGATCCTGCTTTTCACACATGCCCCAAATCTTCTCTCAAAGCTGTATTTTTGGAAATTGCATTTTCCCAGAAATTTGTGGACAGTTCAGTTGCTATTGTTTTGGAGATTAGGTTGCTCACAGTCTACCTACCCTTCTTTGAAGGGAGCCTAACTTGTGGAACCCAATAGCAAGTTATTAATACATTTTGTTGTGTTTTTTCGTTCTATCACCCAAACTTGAATCCTGCTGTGCTTACTTGTTTTGCTGGTTCCCATTCCCAGAAGTATTCCCTCTGGGGAAGGGATGGTTGTTTTACAGGGCTGTAACAAGAACACACATGACAGAATAAATTTCCTAGCTCATCAGTGTCTATTTTATAGTGGCCTAAATGTGCAGTGGCTGCCATTGCGGAAGCTGCAGCACCAAGCTGAGCTGGAAAGTCTATGAAGTTTCCCTCCTGTCCTGACTCTACTTCCAGGCTTGGCCATATATCCACTTTAGCTCATTATGTCCTAAGTGTCTCTGATATAGTGCACCCAGGATGGTTGTTAGGGCTATATCTACTGCATAGATCAAGTGAGCACGTTGAACAAACAGATGGCGGTTGGATAAATCAAGGTGTTTTCTTTTTATACTTGATAGGTGAGCTGACAGTGCCATGATAGAAGGCCCAAAAATAGCAACCACTGTTTGTTCTCAAAACTGCTCAGTGTAATTTCTCTTCTGCCACACTGATAAAAGGCAAAACCCTTTCTTCATTCACTTGAGGTAAATCTATTAAAGTAGTTTTCCCATTTGCTATCAGTATCAGTCAGTCAAAGGCACCTCTTGTATTGCTCGGAATAAAGCTTTGGGTTCTTTTACAATCAAGACTCAGATTACCTCAGATTTGTCAAAAGCCAGATACTTTGATCCGAGGCATATTCAAACCAAGTTTCTATTTTTGGGGGGTGAATATTTGACAAAGTGCTGCCTTTTCATTTTAAAAAATGCTGTATTGGGGGTGTATGCAAATTCTCTCTTTTTAGCAGTTCTTTGGAAACTCTTTATGGATGACTGGTTAACTTGTGCCACATGATGAAGTGGCTGAGGTAATGGAGAGCTGAAAAGGAAATGTCAGGAATTCGCACATACAAATTTCACAAAGGTTACATGGATTCCATGAAGAGCGCTGTAGCTAAAAAGCCCTCATCGTGTTGTTGTTTTTAGGCCCCATGGGAATAAAAATCCTATTCTTGATCAGACTCAGTTAATGACTGAAAGGGAGAAGGATGGGTGAGGAAAGTCCCTGCAAGGGCATTCTGAAGTAAAAGAGTGATAATTCAAAAGCCTGGAGGGGGTGATTATGCACCATTGACTGAAAGCAGAGCTTTGGACTGCAATACCCGATCAGACTATGCATATAAAAATGGACAGAATTTTGTTTCTAAAGCACAGATACGACCTGGCTCTGTCCTTAAAGGCTGATTTTCACACTCATCCAAAGAAGGATACATTCCATGTGGGGGAGGGATGTTACCCCACTGCACATACATTGTAATAGGATGATAGGAAACTGCCTTACCCTGAGTCAGACCATTGGTCCATCTAACTCAGGACTGTTAGTGGTGTCCAAACTTTTTCCAAAGAGGGCCAGATTTGATGAAGTGAAGGGCCGTGAGGGCCGACCAAAGTTGTTGACCTTTTTTCGGATTGAAGTTATTGAGGTTTTTAAGGATTTTACCTCAGGAAATAAACTGCCACAGGGGCCAGATTAAACCGACCGGAGGCCTGGATTAGGCCCCCGAAACGGACTTTGGACGTGCCTGGAACAGTTCTCCAGGGATTCAGACAGGAGTCTCCACCAAGTCTACCCGGAGACTCCAAGAATTGGACCTGTGACCTTCTGCAAGCAAAGCAGATGTTCTACTACTGAGACATGGGCTTTCCCTTCTGCAGTGTTTGGCATAGGGAAGTGTAATTAGTGGCACAGATACCCATGCACAGTCCATTGGTATGAAGATGGCTTATCCACTTTCGTTGTATATTCTGGTGGTAGGGGCAGCTGCCTTGCCCTTCTCAGCCAGGTGAGTGTGTGAACTGACCCCGATGCAAGCATATTTCTAGATCTAAGCCATGACTAACAAGCATCTTTTCAAATTGCCACTGCGGACAGTCCACGGTACATCTGAATTTGCAGCAATGTAAGCTCAGATAGGAAAGGAACTGGTACAGTATTAAATCTTTTGCTTTATTGTATCATTTGGCTGCAAGCAACTACTGCTAACTTTTATGTAAGGGTCAGATGGAAAGCAGACAGATGCCATCTGCTTGGGAAAATTTGTGTGCCATGTGATGTTTCTTCCATCTGGAAAACAAAGAAATAAGCTTTCTCCTAGAATGTATACCCTATATAAAATGAAATTCTTCCTATATGAGATAATATAGATTGCAAGCTTAAATTTAAACACTTTCCCTTTCAACATAATAAACAAAAAGCAAAGAACAGGAAGAAGCAGGCATGTAACTTTATAGCCTGCAAAATTGATTTCCTCCTAAAGGTTTTTCTTTAGGTGGACAATACGACATTTTGTCATCCTCCAGGAAAAAGAGCAATAAAACTATTCATAACAGGTTATATTTGGCTATGTGATGAAATGGGTTCAAACGTCATTAAATCAGGCAATCCTCTATTTGCAAAATTTGGTTTCTTAATAGAGCACCACATCAGGAAGGAAGCTACTAGATATGAATGTCACACCTGGGACTCAGCAAAGAAAAAGCACTTTATATGTGTTGTATATGCATTATAACACTGTGACACCAGGTGGCGCTGTGGAGTTCCGTCTTTGCCAACCCGATTTCTCAAAGAAAGTTTACAACGTGTTTAACTGAAACACTTCTTTGATGTGTTTAGATCCAGCCCTGGATTTAGAAATGCAAATATAACTATCTCATCTATAATGCTTTAAGACAACCCTCGATTTAGAAAGATGATGGGGCAGCAACACCTTCAGTTTTTGGGAGGGAGGCTTGGACAACCTCTTCCAAGTGTCTTTAAAGTTTTATGACTGCAGTGGAAGAGGTGGCAACATTAGTAGAAGACTGATTTTTCCCCCAACAGAAAGCTTGTGAATGCCAGCCAGAGACTGAAAGAGAAGGTACAGTCATTGATCAGCACTTTGACAGTATTAATAATGCTGACAGGCTAGCATGTATACATTTGCTTAACTGAAAGCCTACTTTATCAAGGATAGAAATCCAAGTGTTGCTATTTATATTAAAGAAAGCATGTAAGTTTATTCCAGAATCCAGAAGACCAGAAATCTTTAAAAAGCAACAAATAAATTGCCATGCCAGGAAACTGGGCAACCATTCCAGTCAAAGACATTAAGCAGAAACTTCAGGATGAAGGTGAAATAAAAGGCAACGCTAAGCCCCAGTTTAAGAACTATGGAAAGAACTTCAAAGCCGAGCAATTAAAAAGAGCAGAATACAGTGAAAATTAAAACTCAAGCTTGGATTTCAGGAGATGTGGCTTTGGATTCCGCCTCAGCTGCCACTGAAGTGTCATTAAGCAAGGACAAATATGCCTGCTATTGTCTGGGCACGCTTCCTCTGATCAAGGTCAGGAGTCATAGCACTGGTTGGCCAACAAAAATGAAAGTTAACTGCTGCCATGGCAACCATAGCCTTTTCCCATTGAAACCTGGCACCAGCTATGTAGTTCTGGTGTTTTGATCTGAAGTAGGAGGAGACTGAGAGAACCTTAGTGTAGCTCCATTGTCTTGGACAGATCACTTCTGCAGGGATGAAAGATCCACCTGCAGAGACTGAGGAATCTAGATGGATGGCTTCTCTACTTGGTGTTCCTGTTGAAGTTCGGACCAATCCTTTGGAATGGGAAGATAGCATGTACTCTCCTACTTAGAAGAGCTCAGGAAGCTTCATGGTTAACCAAGGAACTGAGAACAAATGAAGAAAGATGGCTAGAGCAATAGCAGCAGAAAACACACCATGAATTCAACTGAATGCGGTTAACTTTTAGGATCTGCCTGAATGCTTGACAAATTTGGTCTTTGTGAATTCCAGAACAACCAAACTGATCCACACCAGGAAGACCAGTTACCCTTTGGATTTTGCAGTGTGGTTATCAACTCAAAAAAATATGAAAATGTGTGCAATAAAAAATGCACATTTTAGGATAAAATAAGTTTAGAAATCCATATTGCAATAGAATATATTTCCAAAAATGCATGCGCAAATATGAACGTCCATGTAGATTTTTTAAAAATCAAAAAATCAAATTAATGCAGAAACAGGACAGGGCAAATTTATGAATGTGCATATGGAAAACAGCCGCAAGCCATGGCAGTGGGTGGTACTCAGTTTGTTAATAAATTCCTTTCAGCACATATTGTACATTTTCCTTTCATCTTAAATAACTGGGCAAAAAAGGGGTGGGGTTGAAGAAGCAGGGAAAGAGATGAACAACAATTTTAAAAAATCACAATTATAAAAAAAATCCAGGATCAGATAACAATGCTGTAAATGCAGAATGATTTAAAATAAAACAGTTAATCATTAGAAATAGCAAATGCACATAAATGATGTGCTAATTGCATTGATGAAAGACAATAATTGTACAAAATGGTTGTAAAGTCACATTATTAATAGTATCATTAGAGCATAATGAGTATTATATGGTGGTTGATTAATAGCCAGCAAAAAGAAGAAAAAAGCATCTATTTTAATTTAAATCTTTATCCTATCAGTTATCTCGTAGTTCTTATTTGTATTGGTGAATTGCAAAGTATCATTCAGAATTAAATAGATGCTATTTAATTTGGGAATTTTTGTTATCACTATGAATTTTAAATTGCTATTGCCTCTTTTTTCTTTCGGCTTGGCTCAAACACTAATTTAAGACTAGTCTAGTCTTGGAACCATTGGGAATCCTTCCAATGCCTTCATCCTAGGACTGATGGGAACTTGTCAGAAACAGGGCAGAAATATAAACATGGTTCCCTTTTTTTGGTGTGTGAGTTTGCAGTCTGTGGTCCATACAGCAGCATTTTTAATGGCAATGCACCTCAGATATAGAGGTGTTTCCCCATCCATACTAGTGGGCAGTGCTTGGTGGGACTCCGATGTCACTAGTCTGTCCAATCAGCTTCACCCATTGAAACCAGTCCCATTTGTTCCCAGCCAAGAAGGAACTAGGCAGAGGTGGAGATGGAAACACCACAGCGGCAAAAGAGGGGAACTCCTCAATGTGTGGTGGGAACACACAGGAAGGGAAGAACAGGTTGCACAAAATAATTGGGAGCTGGGGGAGGAATCCAGAGACCCTTAGGATAAGAAGAAAAACCCTCACTCTCCTGCCTCCACTCACCTTCCGAATGGGATAATGTTCTTAAAGCCTCCGGTGTTTCTCACTGAGGTGACATAGCTGCAAATTTGAGAAGCAGCAAGGAAAAAGATGTACACCCAGATACATACATAAACCTCATTTGGTTAACATTTACTGGAAAGCAGGGTGTGTGATGCTCACACCAGCCAGACCTGTTCGCATGCTTCTCTCTCCAGACCAACCTCAGCCTCACTTCCTGTTGCCCCCACCCCATGCAGCTCATCAAAGAAGAGAACCCACCAGGGGCAAAGTTACAGCTTACCAAGAGGGTGAGAGAAGAGACAGGACTGCTGCTCAGTCAAATACATCAGCCTGGTTAAAACAAAGCAGAGCCAGCCTGCAAGGTAATTCTTTTTATTACAGCTATTTTGAATTAGTTCAGATCAGTAGTGGGGGGGGGGGTAAAATAAAAGAGGCAAACCTACATCCTTCCTCTGGTCAGAAACAAAGCAGGCATAGGGTGTGGTACTATCATACGTATGTTACCAGAACCCCCTACACACACACACACACACACACACACACGGTGCTCAAGCAGTTTCACAGCAAAGAAACATGAGGTTTTGTCTGGATATACTTCTCCTATCTGGACTTCCTCAGATTTGGAAAATCGTATTTTACTGCTCAAAAACTGTGGGCTTCCCCTTGGATAGGGATGTGTGTGTGTCATATGAACCACGGCAATAAAAGGGGAATACAAACAAGTACAGATTAAACTCCAGTGGGGACAAGCCCAGAGGAAGAACAGGGATCTCTGTGTACTTATTATGCTTATTATTATCTGAATCACAGCAGCACGTCTGATCTCGCCATTGGGGAGGAAACATAGCAAAAAGACAACTCTGCCCAAACAAGTTTGCAATCCAAATATAAAGCAAGAGACAATTGGTGGTAGGAATCCACAGTGATAGGAATGGGCAGGAAGAGGCAAGGAATTGGCACCGTCAGCTCCAGCTCCTTACTTGTTGCTTAGCAGAGGTAAGCTGGCACCAAGAGCCTCATCATGCAATGCTTTTCATAAGGCAACAGAAAATTACTGCCTGCCCTGAAGGAGCATGGAGATGAAAAGGAATTGTGACTAACAGTGTGAGTCTCACCTAAAGGCCCATGGAATTATTCCTCAGGGAAAGAAGTTCCAATGTGCTGACTACAATGTGCTTTCAATTAAAAGGAGTGAGGGTTGGGTTGGGTTGGGTTGGGTTGGGTTGGGTTGGAAGTGTCCTTCCAGATCTGAAAAGAACTAGGATCCTCAGTTTTTCTGTCCTATAACAATATTATGAAGACTGAGCCTGCCCAAATAATCCTCAATTATTAGGCAGAAATCAGGAAGGCGCATAAGCTTATGTTCTCCTTAGAACTATAGTAAGCAGCTACAGAACTACGGTCTAAAACCCATCCACCTTTTGTCTCTTCAATCTGTGGATGGGATGAAAGAAACAAGAAAGGGCATCTCTCCTAGTCACAGAAAGGAAACCAACTGTAGGAGCTACAACAAAGGTTACTACCAACTACTGCAGATGATCAGAAATAAGTAGCGCTAAAATGGTAATCCTTGTTTCCACACTTACTTCCATAAAATATGGTGGTTATCTCAATTTCAGGTATCAACATTTCCTTTAGTTGTGAATTTTCATCTGGCAAGCCTATCGGTACCAGATGCTGCAGAGAGCAGTTCTCCAGAGTTGGGTCTCTAATGCAGCAGGGTAGGAGAACCTCCTCGTACTGTTGCAAGAATTATTGAAGAAGCATATGTCAGGGATCAGCTACTGGCTGACCTTTCACTAAGTCTCAGCCCCTGAGTTTCTCAAATGCAAAAAGAGAAGTGAGCAACTTGTGTGGCAAAGTATCAGGAGCTAACAGGGCTAGAACTGATATACTTCTGTTTTCTGCATTGCTGCTCAGTGTGGTATATTTTACTGGAAATCTTATCGGAAATTAAGTATTCTCACCTCTGAACAGACCCCACCCATCCAAGTTAGCCATTGAGCCCTCCTGGACATAAAGTGTATGAAAAACTCCCTATTCAGAGTGAGGCCTTATTTTAACAACAAATACCTCCTGGCTCTTATGTATTCTTGCCTCAGGTTTCTAGCTTTGTCCTCCAACCAGATTTCCTGGCTCAATTCCTGATTCTTCCTGGCTCCTGGCTCACCTCTGACAGGTAACATCTGCCTTCAGCTCATCTCTCACCAGTGGGACTTGGCAGCTGATTACTGGAGTTTCAACCTGTTGTCCCAACCTTGTGAGTGTCCTGCTAGTGGTTGGTTGGTCATTAATATCCTGCCCTTATTTTGATGAAAACAGTTATCATAATTAAACAGCAAACTGAAGGATGCCCTTTCCTTCTGATTGTTGACATTCTTCAGTGACTGCACCAGGAGATGCCAGATGGAAGGGTTCTGTTGGTCCCTCCCTCTGATGCTTCAACTGCAAGCAGTAGGGATGACATATGGCCATCTGCCCTGGACTCCTTGCTCTGCAAATGGCACTTGATATTTTGCAGTGGCCATAGCTGGGACAGGATGATAAATGGAAGATGGCCCTGGTTTCCCCCCCTGCTACTTCCAGTTGATAGATGGGGCAGGTGTTGATGACATAGAGATGAAGTGAGTAAATATCCCCAGGGTGCTTAGTGACCATCCTAAACTAGCTCATAGGATTCAATATGCCCTAATAGTATATGAAGCTTATGAGATGGAAGGGCAGGTTGTTAGGAAATATTTGAAAGTCCTGATGATGAAGGAATATGCACGAGAGTCGTTCAATATGAACATGGAACTCTCTGAGCTTTTATAGGCGACCCTGGGTAATAACCACTAAAGGGTAACTAAACAAGAGGTGTGCGTGGGTGTTGTTCTTTCCCTTTTACAATTTCATGCTCTAAAAAGGGAAGTTATAATTGTGCTCATCTGGCAGATGTATAAACTGAGATAGAATTCAAAAAATTATCTTGCAGAGAAGAAGTTTTAAGCCTGCTTGTGCTCTATTCATTTCCCCAGCACTTAAATATTTACTGCTACTGGACAATGCAAAATGTTTTCAAAAGTAAGGAATATTTTGAGACTTGAAATATCAGTGTCAGTGCAGTGTGTGTGTGTGTGTGTGCAGTGTGTGTGCGAGAGAGAAGGGGGGGGAAGAGAGAGGACTTAGACTTAAATGTACTGGCAATTCAACAACAAAATCCTTTGCATTTCCCTGAAAAGCCTGACTATTATCATCATCGTTTTTATTTCATTACTCTGCCCCTTGTTACTTGTGATCAATTCAAATAACTTTAAGTCTTGAGAAATGAGTGTGAAACCAAAAGAGGGGATGAGCTGTCCTGTTTTGTCTTTTGGCAGTGCAAGATAAAAGATAACCAGCTGTCCTATCACTGGGGAGTTGTTACTAATTTATCATTGGATGTGGTTGAAATGCTTAGAAATATTTGGCTATGTTTTTAATCAGCTTGCATTTTAGACCTTTAAAGTACAAATATGGATTTCAAACATGTCAAGGGAACAAATTAACTCCGAAAAATGGCCATTCTTTCCAAGGTTGCACCTGCCATGAAATTGCTCCAAGTTTGCATTTCCCCCTCCGGTCTCCAGCGTGTCATTATGGCAGATTGATCTCTGTCCTCTC